GGCTGGATTCATGAATTTGGGGGAAGGGAAGGCAAATTGAAATGTCCTCTTGCTGTTTTAACTAGGAAAAATCTGATTACTGGTTCTTCGTCATTTTTATGCTGCTACGATTAACAGAATTAGATCAGAAGAAGATTAAAGTGGAGGAAAAGGTAAGTCAACCTGTAGCTGCCAGTGCTCTTACCCATGCACAGAAGAACTCCTGCTGCTCCTCCCTCCCCTCCCCCACCTGCGGTGTCTCCAACAGACACACCCAGCCCTGTGTAAATTAACCTTCTGGGGAGTATTTTCTTGCCCCTGGCTGTCAGTTGAAACCCCCTGCAAAGCTAAGCATCAGCACAAACTCAGCAGACGCCCTCTGCTGACGCAGTGGAGAGATGGGGGTCAAGAGCAGCACCCCGCTCCTAAGGCCCGCAGCGTGATGGCTGGCAGACTCGCGCACTCTTTTGGAGGTGCACGATCACATCCGCGTTACCCCAACATTTCATTTTCACCCTGAAAATGTTAGACTGCCATGCTGACATCCCCAGAAGGTCCTCAAATACATCACTACTCTGATCTGTTAAAGGCTTAGTTCTGATCTTTAAAATAATGATGGAGAGAGACCAGACCCTGAAGGCTGGCCCCGCCAGCCTCTGCCCACGAGCCCAGGGACACCGGCTGGTAGTGCCCTGGAGTCCCGTGACCGCTAAGCGCGACAGACAGTCACGAGGGAGCGCATGTAAATTTGAGGTGGGACTAAAAACAGGAACAAATGTTAACTGCCTTTCTGAAATCTTGATTAAAAATAGGTAGGGATGACTATAATGGACCAGGCGAGAAAATAACAAAAATAATGAACAACCATATACCAGAGACTTTTGCGGGGGTGGAGTGGGGAATGGGATCAAAAACGGGGTGGGGAGGGAAATGCACGGGATTATGGTGATGGCACACGGGTGACTTGGTGATGGGAAACCTGCGGGGATTACAACTGAGATGGAAAAAAAAATGTACAAAATGATGTAAAAATAAACTGTTACAAAATTTTAAAAAATAATAAAAAAAAAAGTAAAGAAAAAAAAATAGGTAGGGATGCTAGGCTGTTATTCTTACATCCAGAGGCATTTACTAGACTCTCCGTTCCCTTTAATATTTTGTGAAATGAACAAAATACGAAACTACATATTAAATGAAGTGTGATGGCCGAAGATGACGTGTGTAGAGGGGTGACAGACAAGGGAACAGTAAACCGTACATTCTGAGGAAAGGCCGGGATCCTTACCAGAGGAAAACGTTAAGCCAGAGGAGGGAGAGGTAGAATGGGAAAATGGGAACAGATCTTGGTGAACAGCAGGAGGGACAAAAATCTGCAGTTCAGCTGTCTGGAACCCAGAACAGTGAATTTTAGTCCTTCTCATACTGAAAGTTGGAATATTTGCTGATTTACAATCATGGGTTGTAGAACTACTTTGTTTTTACTTTTTCTGTGGTCAAGCCAGGTAGCGTAAGTAGCTGGAAGCCCAGGGACGGTAGCTCAGTATTTTACTTATTTTCAACATTTTAAGGAATCATTATTTAGACCTGAAAACTGAACTCACAGACTCCTGAGCATGGGGTTGCCTGTCTAGAATATTTCCTTGAAGAAAATCTCAGCCTTGGCTTCCTTGTAGAAGTGAAACGTGTTTTCCCTTCATATTTCTGACACGAAAGGTGGCTGCCATAAATAAATACGACCCTCCCCCGGAAGTGGTGGCAGTGAGAGATCATCTGACCCACGTGGTCAACAGCGTGCTGCAGCCCCAGAAGATCTTTGACAGGTAGGGAAGCCTCAGCCTCCCCAGGGGGAGCTCAGGATGGAAGCTTATGCTCTTTCCCTCTCTCATCCTCTGTGAGGGACGGAATCAGCTCTTTAGATAAACAGGCTGTGTGGTCTCCATCTCACCACGCAACCCTTCCCTGCCTGAGTACTGGCCGGGTCCTGGGTGTTTTCCCAAGGATGGTGATGAATGCACCCCCACCCCCCCTCTCTTCTGGCCTTTGAATTGGGCACAGCCCTTTAAGCCTGTGACACTAGACAGTGAAATGAAAAAAAAAGTGTCAGCGTCTCTGCTGTAGGATGGAACCATAGTCCTCTGCCTTCTTAACAAAGCGGTAATGGTTTCTATGCTTTGTAAATTTTTCCTTAACTGGGAGAGAATGCTAGACACCCCTGCTGAAAAACATGCCCTGAATTCCGATTATTGGGGAGCCCCTAGAAGGAAGCCCCCGGGACCAGGAAAACCTGAAATAGTCTTTATCCTGATTGCTCTGAGCTGCGATGATCCCAGCAGGGAGGAGTCGCTCAGCCTGGTTGAACACATGAATAGAGTCTCTCACCTCCAAGTTCAAAGACAGATTTACCATGGTTTCTCCCTTTCTTTCTAAACAGTCTGTTGCAGCAGATGGCCATTTATGCTATAAGTATAATGTAAAAATTCTATCAATATCCAAAGGCATTTTAAAAATACTTGTGAAATCTCTTGGTTATAAATGGTTTATCCATGTGATAGTTGCTCCTGTACTTCACAGGGTTGGTTCCCCACAGAAAGCAAAATGTTTTATTTGGTGTACAGGTCATGATTTTTAGATGTAATTGCATAATGGAGATGTGGACAGTTTTATAATATGGTACTCCTCTAGGTGAGATGAGTGATCAATGATTTGCATACACCTGGGAATGCACATTTGATTTAAAAGAAGGGTATCTCAGTCCTCTTTGTATTTCTTTTCAAGATTGAGATTGCAGGTTGTTTCATGCTTTAGGGTGATTTGGTATAAAATACAGTTATCAAAGAAATTTACAGCAGTTTCTGGTGAACATATTTCTTGAGCATTTCTTGCTGTCAGGCAGACAAAGCAAATGGCCAGGCAGCCCCAGATGCTCCAGGTCGGAGTGGAGTTCATTATGATAAACTCACGCAGGCAAGAGCAGGCTGCCATTGTCCTGGCCACTCTAGGCCAGTACCCAGCACTCTGCCAACCCTGGAAGTCAGCTCAGGAAACCAGCTTCTGGCCTTGGGAGTTTAATGCTGCATGACTGAGATATGACTGTCCCTTCTCCTGGTGTGATCAGTGTGAGGAGAGAATATTAAAATGACATAGCAGAACCTGAACTCTGTTCCAGAGGTTGTCAGTAGCTTCCTTCCTCTCTGGTCTGACAAGGCCTCTAGGTTCATCTCCAAGTTCTGTCTGAGCTCTGGAAATAGTCATTTCTCCAAAAGGCCCTGGCTTGTTACTCCCCAGTCATTGTTTCTAGGCCCTTCAGCAGGCAGAGCGAAAGATTTCTGGGTTTCCTCCCTCCCTCCCTCCCTCCCTCCATCTACATTTATTCCATCTGTTTATTTCTATCTGATCTATGTCTAGATAGAGCTCTATTTCTACTTATAGATAGAAGTGCTGAATGCCTATTGATACAATTCTTCAAGACATGATTGAGCTCCTCCTTAACTTTCTCTCTTTACCTCTTTTTCTCACACAGCAAGGTTCCCAGGGATTCAAATATCTCATAATTACACTTCTTTTACCCCATATTACACCATGACAGTCTCTGGACACCCGTACTAATTCTACCGCCAGCACAATTACTGCCAACATTAGAAACATGCTTGCCCATGCGCTCTCCATTCTAGAGAACATGCCAAGCCAAATGACTGGAGAGACATCAACATGTGGGATGGTAGTGAGCAATCAACATGCCACTATCCACAGAACTAAGAGTAAAGACACCCCCCATTTTTTTTTAATTGTGCAAAATATATATAACATAAAATTTACCATATTAATCACTTGTAACCACAGTGGCATTAGTTATATTCAAAATTGTGTACAAAAATCGCTACCATCCATACCCCAAGCAAACTCTGGCCCCACTAAGCAATAATTCCCCATTGCCTCCTAGTCCAAGCCCCTGGCAACTGCTAATCTATTTTGTCTTTCTGAATTTGGTACGCATTTCATAAAAGTGTCAGCCATTTTAAAGATAGCTTACTATATATTGTTAGAACACATATCCATCACAAACTGTCTTTTGCCCTTTGCTGTCTTTACTCTTAGTTCTGTGGATAGTGGCATGTTGATTGCTCACAACCACCCCACATGTTGATGTCTCTCCAGTCATTTGGCTTGGCATGTTCTCTAGAAGATTCCTTAGGAAGTGCTATGTGATCAGCGACCCTTAAGCCTTCTCGCATGTTGATGATATTCTCTGCTTTTTCTACTTAAAAGTCACTTTTACCAAGTATAAAATCTATGACTCACACCTTTTCCTTTGAAAATATTAAAGACGCTACTCTACTTTCTTTTGATGCAAAACATTGCTGTTGAAAAAAAATGCAATAATTTATAATTTTCTTTCCGTTAAAAAACTTTTAAGGGAAGATTAAAGGGAAGATGTGCTTTCTCTTTCTAGCTGATCTTTTTTTTTTTTCTTTAAATGCCAGTGATTTTACTAGAGTAGATCTTGGCATTAGTAATTCTGGATTAATATTCTTAGGTATACTGTAGCTGTTTCAATGGATGGTTTTATAATTTTAAGAGTTTTCATTAATTGCAGGCTTTCATTGTCCTGTTTCTTTGTTTTGAGGTTCTTAAGGAAGATCTCCTTTGTTTAGCTCCAGTAATTTAAAATCTTTTTCTTCTCTTTAATCATTTAAACATTATATTTTGAGCTAATTTTAGATTGACATTCAGCTGTAAGAAATGACAGAAATTCCATATACCTTTCTCCCAGTTTTTCCTAATGGCTGCAGCTATCACTAGAGAGTCAAGTACGGCAATCAAGGAAATGGCACTGATCAGGGGAGTGTAGGTTTACTCATGAGTATCTACAGTCAAGATCCAGAGAGATTTTGTCATAAAGACCCCTATCCTTCCCTCTTAGAGGGGCAGCCTTCTTTCTCTGTCTGATCTTCAACTGACTACCTCTAATCTGTTCCCCATCTCTATAACGCTGTCATTTCAGAATGTTCTATAAACTGTATCATCTACTGTATAATCTTCTGGAAACTGCTTCTTCTCCTTTCTTCTGCACAGATTTTAGCTCCAGAAAGGAACTTCATCAAGCAGTATCGTGCATATTATGTATGTTTTTTCTTTAAGGTGTTGTAATTTTACATGTACTTGGATTTTACCCTGTCATTGTGCTCTGAGTATCGCTTGTGGTTTACTATGATTACCTTGCTTCTGGAAAGTCGAACAATCCTTCTAGCCCTTGTCTACACGGAGCTAGTGTTCACCCGTTGGATTGTGATGGCGCCAAGCTCCCTGCACGCCGGATGCACCCTCGCTGACCCACCTGTATCCATTGCAGCACTCTGCCCAGTCTGGACGCACCTTATCCCATGTTGATATTAGCTGGCCCTCAAGCCTGTGGGAAACGAGAACTCGCCCACCGCCTCTGCAGACAGTTTAACACTTACTTCAGATATGGGTAAGTTTGTTTCTTGGCTGGTAGGCCTGTAAAAAACTCAGATACTGCTCATTCTGACCAATGGTTTTAAGCAGGTGCAAAAATCTACATGGTAGCCTTATTATCTTCTCAGTCATTACTTCTGTGTTGAGGTATGCTATATATATATTTTTAAAGATTTATTTATTTATTCATACAGAACTGGGGTACAGGCCAGAGGCTCAGGGGCGGTGAGAGGCTTCACCAGAGACAGAGTGGGGAGCAGAACAGGCAGATCGACGAAGTACACTGCTGAGGGAAGCAGCGGGCGGGTCAGGAGAGGTCTGGCTTGCCATGTGGTCTCCTCCGGGGCAGGCGGCAGGCAGGAATCGAACTCATGCGGAAGTGGCTTCAGATTCTCAGTGCTGTGCTTTAACCCGCTGCGCCACCAGGGAGGGCCAAGTATGCTATATATTTTTAAAAACTGTAGTCCTCAAAATGTTTAAGCTCACACATGCCTCCAAGGTTTTGAAAGTGTTTGTGCTTTTTAATAAACCCTATTTGTGGTTGATGCAGGGTCCTCCTGTACCAAATAGCGCCAGTAATTGCAATGCTGTGGTTAGTGATGGATAGGACTGCTTGCTTGCATGGTGATGAGGGCGGGGCCCGTGTATGTATATGTGGTGGTGATGTGTGGGTTTGTCTGTGGGACAGTGGTGGCCTGTACAACCTCTCTTGGAAAGTCCCCTTCAACTGCTTACCTGAGGTAGGAAAGAGAAATAGAAGCAGAGTTTTTCCTTTTCTTTCCCTCAGGTTAGCATTCAGTACACTCCACAGTTTTCTGGACCAAACATTTAACCTTGAAATTCCTGTTTAAATAGAGCAAAATTGCCCAAAAACTTAAACCACCCAAAAATCTCTCCAGGTTCACTCACTACCAAGTCTCTGCTTCAGTCTGTGTCGACATTTTTACCAGGATAGGCTCCATTATTCATTTTCATTAAACCCTGCACTCTTCCCTATTAGAATGCTTATCCATCAAGCTTGCAATTATTCTATTTAGTGTCTGTTTGCTCATCTAGAAACCTAGTCAGGGTAGGCAGCAATGTATGCTTGGCTCTCCATTGAGTTCGCAATGGTTAGTTCATGGCCAAGGACTTACTGTGCACCTGATAAACATTAAATGGATCACTTGCTGGTTGTCTATGTTGAAAGATGTCTATGTTGAAGGATGAGTTAATGGTGTCCTATGCTACATATGGAGGGAAGTTTTTGTGATAAACATTGGTGATTTTCCCCCAACTTCCAATGATGGAAATATGGAGAGATGAAAGGACAAATTCATCCTGTTTTCATCACCTACTAATTCATTATTCCAGTTAATAGTCATTGAGTTCTCTCCATGAGCTAGACTCTGAATATGCAGTGGGTATGAGATTGATGAGGTCCTGCCTTGATGAAACTTATAATCTAGTGGGGTAACAGACCTTAAGTACAGTTGTTCACCTTTTGTGTGGAAACACAAGATGGTGAAATAAAACCCTAACATGCTTCTCTATTGTCACTACTGTTAAGCTATTGTTATGGTGAGTGGAAAGATGTTCCTACCACTCCACTCACTCACCTGCTTCCCACATAGGCTCACAAATGGGCATCCTCCTGGGTGTAGAAAGCAGAGCTGTTTAATAGCATGTTACCTTAAGAGGTATGACATACCACAGAGGCATGGACATTGGATAATCATTTCATCCATTGAGAAAGTAAGGTGGTATGGTTACTACTCTGTGTAGCAATTAAAAAAAAATTATTGAGGGAACATTGGTTTACATTACTTTGTATTTTGGAAGTGTAGAATCCCCCCTTCTTCGATGTTACCATAGCATTCCATCACTAAAATATCCACCATCCACCACCGTAGTCCAGTTATGCTACAATTTTCTAGTTCAAACAAATGATAAAACCATAGTACATCCTCGGGCAAGACATATGACTCCTGCTTAGGTTTTTTTTTTTTTTAATTCTTTATCCAACATAAACTTTATTGATTTTTTTAATTAAATGAACAAAAGGCATACATACTGACTCACGGCAAGACAGATGAGCACTTATAAAGGCTCTTACTCTGCCATTCACTTGAATCTTTTCTTTCTCTCCTATTTATTTCATTTTCTCCTGGCATTTTGCCTGCCTTTTTCAGATTTCATTGACCCAAAACTAAGACATTTGGCAAGTTTTGCTCATACTAAGTTGCATATCCAGATAAGTAAATATCAAAAGCATAGTTTAGTGGTATAACATATTATTAGTGTGATGGAAATTTTGCTCTTGTTTTAGGTTTATATTTGGTTTCAGAAGTAGGTTCATTGTTCTTCATGTCCTATTAATTTCCAACCTTAGTGTTGCTACATCAGTAGTAGCTTCCTGAAGAATGCTGGATAACTAGGGAAGCAGGACACACAGTCTCCAGAGCTGAGACTGTGAAAGCAATCTGAACAGTTACAAAAGAACGAACTTCTTCCTCCGGTGGCTCATTTAGAGCCATCGCTATTTTCAGAATCTGTTCTATGACACTGACTACTAAATCTGTTTTACTTCAGCACTATAGTACAGTAAAGGAAAAGACTATTGCCATTTAGCTAAATGAGTTGGTGTGAGCTATTGCTACTTAAGTGCAGTCTAATCTGTTTGTTTATAGATATGTGACAAACTAGAATTATTCTTTAGCCCCTCGGTCATGTTTATTGAGCACCATGTGCCATGAGTCTGATAAAATCATAAAGCAAATAGACATGGCCGTGCCCTTCTGGAAGCTTACAGCAGCCCAATATGAAAGTCAGATAGTAAGTGGTCTCTTAACAGTTTGATGGGTGCTGTCACGAGAGGAAGGAAAGAACCTCTGTGATGGAAGCACAAGGGAGATGGATGTGGGACTTAGGAGATGTGCCGTCTGGGAAGAACAAGTTCATTTGATTAACTGAACATACATACACTGTGACTGAGCATGAAATATAGCGGGAGATGGCAGAGGATAAGAACAGAAAGATAAATGGGTCCAATCATAAGGGGCCTAGGCAGGGGGGTATCATGAATACTGCTGCATTTTAGATGCAAAGCCTGTCAGCAATTTGGGAAAGGGCTTAGGGGGGAGGGAAGCTAAAGATAAAGAGACCAGTTAGGATATAATTACAGGAGAGATGGCATAAGTTAGAAAGCAGAAATCTACTGACTGGAATGTGGACAGACTAGTGGCTTCCTGGAACTAAATACTCAGACATAGTGTTACTGGAATCTTCTGTGTTTGTGACCTCTTGAATTGACAGCCACTGATTGACACGTAATTGTGTTGAGCATTAGAACCAATTAATTTGCCTAAGTGAATGTTCTAGGAAATCTTGGGCTTCTGTGGATAGCCATGAAAGAGTTCATTTACCTACAATACAATGTGCTATATTTGATACGTTCACAACCAAGCCTCTACCTCATATTTGCAGTAACAAGTTCATTATTTCCTGAGGTAGTCTGGTCCAGAATTGTGAACCACACTGAGAAATTTCTGCTTCTTCATTCACCTGCTAACTTCTCAGACATCTTTTGTTTCTATTATATTTCACTGGATAATTTACCATTACATTCTTTGGCACGGGCTTCCAGATCCCTTTTCCTCCTGGTCATCTCCTATTTTCCTTGCACTTGGTTTGTGAGGATCCCTGATGACAGCTGGCCCATGAGTTGGCCTTTGGACTGTCCAACATCACCCTTAGACTTTTATGACCTATCCTGTAGTCTGGAGTTAACGACTAACTCACTTCTGTCTGTTTAGTGAAAATGACAGCATATGGCTCCCATTACAAGCCATAATTTAACTAATGTGCCATGTTTTAACTAGTGAATTAATTAGTAAATAATAAATCCAGAGAAATGTAAATTATCACTGAATTTATATTTAGACAAGGGAGAGGAAGGATATCAAAAGTGATGGCCCAAGAAAATGTCCTTATCTGAAATCTGGCATCTTTTTTTTTCCTAAGTAAATTTAGTGAAACGTTGCTTTGGATCTGAAGTATTTCCTTTTAAAGATGTTCGTATTTGGGTGGCACACTACACAGCTCGTGTTTCCATATGTGAAAATTGGATGACAGATTCAAAACACCGCAGGTTGTCTTAGGTCTTTCTTGCTAGAAAGTTCTGCAGGGGATGAAGGGTCTGTCATCAGCATTCTCCACAGTAGTGAAGCCACCTCTTTATCCCCTGGATGCTTCGAAGTACGTCTTTGTCTTTTTTAGAAATTCTGGAAAAAAGCCCTCTCACACATTTCTTTTGTTGAGAAATGCAAATTCATTGTACTGTGTACACTTAGCTAGGGGATTTCAGCTGAGATGCCAAGTCACGGCTTAATCTTCCCTGACTGTCAGGGACTCCAATAGACAGAGGGCCTCAGGTCTCTGCCAAGGTGGGTGAAGAAATGCCAGTGTGTTCAAACAGCTCAACAAATGTCACAGTGTTTTGACAGCCTCCTCTCTCCTCTGAAGCATGCATTCTTTTTCCTAAGTGTGCAATTCAAATGTAATGTTAAGACTTCAGAATTTACCAGGAGAGCTGTTCCTTGTTTATAATGAAAGAAGGGCAATGGTATGAACTATAAAAATTTCTTGGTCTTTGACTTCGTAATGGAGAGACTTTCAAGGTTGCAATGTTACATGCAGTGTGACAGGAAAAGGAATGGGCTTTGGAATCACCCTGGCGTTGCTTCATTGTTGTGCCATAGCTTCATCTGTAAAATAAAAGCAGGTACAACTACCAAAAGCTTTTTTTGTGTGAAGAATAAATTGACCTGTCAAACGTTTACCTGTGCTCATCCCCCATTTTAAAAACCATAGAATAATCTAAAAATCAGGTTGCCTTCCCAGAAGGCAAAAAATGTGGAAAATATGAGTAATATTTTCGTGTGGTATCAGGGAAGATACCGCTAAGTATCTGGAGAGCTGGTAAGTAGCAATGAGTAAAAACTTGGTCTCAACAAGCCAAAATTTGTCTAATGCCCGGAGCATAGAACCGAACAGTCTAGTCCTTCAAAACAGCAGTGCCTTTTCCAACCTCAGTTATGTTATTTGTGATTGATGATTCTGGGATCAGCTTCAGTCTTTCCCAACATGCTTTCCACTGAACCCATTTCCATCTGGGATTCCACCTTGATAGACAGAGCCAAGCTTACCTGTGTATGTTTCCAGGGCCTGTCACACCACAAGACCGCCTTACTTTGGAGAGGGGGATCGAGTCGACTATCATTTTATCTCTCAAGAAGTTTTTGATGAAATGCTAAACATGGTAAGATGATGCTTCTTTACTTCTGTTGTACACAAGAAATACAAGTTCTTGGGCAGAGAGATTAGGAAATGGTATTGAGAAACAGAACAATTAAATGTTATGTTATAAGAGAGCTGTTCTTACTGAAAATGGATTTTCTTAAACCACTAAAGTGCATCTTTCAAATGCAGCTTTGTTTTTAGGATCTTGAAGAAATTCATACATTCCCAATAAAACCGAGTAAGTAGATGGCTTAGGGAAAGTGGGGTGCAAACATGATGTGAGAAGTTCCCGTGACTGGGTTTGTCAGGTGTTGTGGTCATTGATGATTTGAGACACAAGGTGCTGGCTCAGAGCATGCCCAGGTTGGGGTGTTCTAGCCCGCCCCACTCCTGCTTGTGCTCTCTGGTGCACTCTAGTATTTGTGACCCTAAACACCGTGTCCTTGTGCCGCCCTCCCCTGGCAGATGCAAGTACACCCTTGACCTTGCAGCTCCCTAGGAGTCTGGTCTGTGGGGCTGAGCATTTTAATGCAAATAGAACTCCTGTTTGTTGTTTGGGGGGGGGGGATTCCTAGTTGCTTTGAGGTCCCTCTTTACTAGGTGGGGGTAATTATCCTTATTAGTCTGCATTGTAGACACTCTGGACAATCTAGGTCAATGTGATTTTTTTTGTTCCTGAAACACTGATAATTCTACTGCTTGGGGTTAATTCATAGCACTCTTATCTCTGATTTCATTTTCTTGAACCACATCTGTTCTTTCTGGAGCTGCTCCCACAAAGGGACTGCTTCCCTCCCTTGGCCCTTCCTTTTGTGCTTTGTCTGCTCTTAACACTTGTCCATGGTGATACCTGAGAGAACACCGCTTATGAACCTGTAGACCTCTTGTAGACCTTTATATAAACAAGCTGTATGCTTGTTTATAGTTTCATCTCTTCTATCACCAAACAAACCTACACCCCAGTGGTTTCGTTCCTGGGGCAGATTAATGAGCAGCCTGTTTCCCCTTTCGAAAGATCATCACCTTCTCCCACCAGAGATGTTCTGATGGTTAAAGCCCCTCTCCCCTGTAGCCCGTTCTCCTCTGCCCCTCCTGTCTCTGCCCTACCCTCAAATAGCAGACTGGCTTACACCCCAATACCTATACTGTAAACATGGAAGTACCGGCATTGCGGGATTTTTAGTTTAATTCTGAGTAGCAGCCTTGCATTCATAGAGACCCGTGGTGAGAACGTTCTATCATCCCTGGGCTGTTTCCCCTCTGACCTTGTCAGAAGAACCATCTCTCCTTGGTTCTATTTTAGTGGTTCAGTTCATGTGCCAAGAGTACCCTAAACCATCTATATCTAAAAGCCTGAACAGAGATTTGAGGGGTATATTGACATTAGCAAGAAGCATTCTCTTAGGACTCTAAGTTGAAAGATAACTTGTCCCCCAAACTAACATTAGTTTCTCTCGTTAGAGTCTGAGGCACTTACTTTGCTTGTTCGGCACGTCTGTCTGTTCTCAGTAGCACATATGCTCCCAGCCTGCCACACCTTATCCTGTCTGGTTCAGCGCCGAGTCTAGGAAGTCACTGCACGCTATAGCGTATTTTGTCTGAAATTTTTCCTGGCTCTACAGCAATCCACGTGTGTTTGCAAAGTACTCATTTGTACCACTTCTGCTAACATAGACGCTTTCAATAGAACACTATTTCCTTCATCGGAACTTTGCCTCTGCCCTCCCTTCCTCTGAGATGAGCTTGAGACAACTTCATGGAGAGAGACAGACAGATTACACCCTCATGGCATGGTCAGCTTCGCCTGTCACACCCACACTCCACTTCTCTACTCAGCTACTCAGATGGCCTGCCCACCCCCCACACTATGGCCAGCACTCCGACCCACTCTGAACACACACCCACCTCCTCCCAAGTTTAGCTCTATTATCCTGAAATCTAATGCTACCCTAGGCTCTAGGATACCCCTCTAATGCTCATGACCCTCTTCAGGCTCATCTCGCCACTAATCTGCCCCCACATGCCCACAGACACACCAGTCCTTTAGTAGGGTATATATTCAGTCTCCTGTAGAAAACGCTGCTCTCTTGTGCTGACAAGGTCATCTTGCCCAGCTGGATAGAATGTAATTAGAAGAAAACAGGGCATGGTATTTGTTCAAAAGACCAAAGAAATTATGACATTAAGAAAACAAAAAATGAAGAATATTTATTGTTGACAATCTCTTTGATTATGGAGTGGAGGGATTCTCCTCAATGCCCACAGTAGACACATTCCCCAGAGACTACCCACCACTCCCCTCAAGAGTCACCCTTGTACTACCCCGACAGATAACCCAGCTCCCACCCACATAGACATCAGCACATCTGAGGCCAGTGGTATGGGTGACATAAAAGACCCCTACCCCCTACTGTTCTTAGCAATGCTACCATCTCTCAATTCACTAGGCCTCAAGGTTCATCTCAAAGTCCTGTCAGTCAGGAGTCTGAGTTCTCAAGGTCATCTTTCTTCTTTCCTTTCTATTGTCATTGGCCTCCCAATTTAGACTAGACCCGGTGGTTTCATAAATACAGTGGTGTCCATGAGAAAGTCATTATTTTGAGAGCGATATTTTTACTTGCATTTCTTGCAAAGGAAAGCAACTTTCAGTAGATCTGGACTCTAGAATACAGAGAGAAGACAGTGTAGAAATCAGGTAATGACAGGGCATACATAATTCTACTGAATAACATCCGAGGACATTCTATTAATGAGCTCTCTTTATAAGGAAAAAGTGGATGTATCTGTTTTGCCACAGCTTATCTCAGGGATGCAAAGGTTTTAGAATGTCCCTATAATTCATGGCCTTCAGACTTATCTAGAAAGGCAAGACTTGAGAATGGAAGCTTTTTCCTGGGCTATCGGGTATGCTGGCATAACTGAAATGGCTGAGGCAAAGGGCGAGCTATTAGACCGGCTCAGTAATGAAGGTTTACGGTGCTATCTTGGCAGGGAGTAGCAAGCAGAGCAATCTGTTCTATCACAAGCTTCAGGGCCTTCGGCAGTTTTTCAAAATATACATATATATTTTTTATCGACCTAGGATGCTGCATATATTTCTGTAGTACAGTGTGATATTAAGCTTCATAAACCTATTATCATTCTCCTCTAATTGCTAATAATGTGTATTTTGTGCAATCATGTTAGACATAAAATAACTATGTTCAGTTGCCTGATGGCAGCTGTCAGAGGAAAGTCTCTGTACTTCTCCGATTTCAGGGGAAATTCATCCTCACATATAACTACGGCAACCACAGTTACGGACTCAATAGGGACACCGTGGACGGCATCGCACGAGATGGGCTGGCAAGCTGTATCCATATGGAAATAGAGGTAAGTACTTTGCATTCACTTGATCTACTTTAAGTGTGAATGAATTTGTGTGTGTGTTAGGGTGAGGGAGGACAATGTCGCTAGATACAGGAGGAACACCAAGTCCAGTGAGGTTCAAGCACATCGTTGGAATGCAGGAAGCCAGGCTCGTGAAACCTGAAAGGCAGGCGTTCGATTCCAAGAAACCAGACATATGCTTTGAGTAAAACTCTACTCAGGATTACTTCCTCCCCACACCCTCTCCACATTATCCCTTTTGTTACAGACCTTGGTCTCCACTTACATAGAGTGATATCAGATAAAGTGGCGGCTCTGCCTCCATCTCCCATTCTCCACAGACTGTGGGCTGTGTGGTCACATGGCTCACTGCTCAGCATTCCTTAGACTTTAGCAATTTAGACTTGTAGATTTCAGGAGACTTCTCTCTGCCTCAGTAGCCTGTCTTTCCCCTGTGATCTTCTGTAACAGAATCGTCTCCAAAATTAAGACAGAGGGCAAAGGCATGAGTAACTCACTCGTTTGTTGTAAAAACAGATAGCTGTATAAAACATATGAAATCTTTAGACAGTTCATTTTTTTCTCAAGTTATCTTTTGTGAGATGGCAAAAGACACATTTAGAAATTGAAGTGTTCATTAACTCCTGTCATCAGAAAAGTTAAAGTAGAAATGATCCCATTAGACCAAACCTAAAGGGCCGGGCCTAGGCATGTCCTTTACTGTTGACTCCGAATCTCATGCATGGGAGCAGGGTCGCTAGTTTATGGAAGCCTGTGATGTTTCGTCACTTCTCCTCACTTTGAAATTCTTCGATCTTCATCTTTCTGCAATTTATTGCCTTTGTACCTGTAGGGAAGTTTTCTTTGTTTGTAGACTAACAGGGCTTTTTGTTTTGCTCATCTGCTAAATGTCTTCCTCAGACATGGCAGAATCAGAGAGCTTCGAGAACCCCACCCCACTGTCTTTCTCCTTCTCGTTCCCAAGAGGTTGAATGTGGAAACCAGGCCTTGTTTCCTCTCTGTCCTCCGTGTATGCATTTTTCCAACTGCTTGTCATTCTTTCAGAAATGGAAAGAGTATGTTTTTCTTCCCCCAGAAGTTTTTTTAACATTCTGAATATAAGTTAAACTGTCGAGAATAAGACAGAGTCGGGAGGGTCTTCAGAGTCCACTTAGCACAGCACTTCTGCTTCCCTGAAGGGAATGATCCTGAGGGAACCTGAACGGTCTGCATGGTGTGCTCTCCAGAGCTGCGTCACCACCCAGCACTCCAGGCCCCTGCTGCCACTGCTTCATGCTGTGAGCTCCAGGGGAATGTGCACTTGCCAGACACCTGCCCTGGGAAGAGGCTTTGAGAGCTAATAGAGGCAGAAAGGTCTCATAGATATGGCACAGAGGAGAAGTCTTTTCTGGTAAGGGCTCTGTCTCTGGTGCTGCTTGGTTACCTTTTGAAATGTAGAACTGAAATTCCTTTCCAGTCACAAAGGTGCGATGCCACGGTAAACTGTACCTGTCTGTAGCTAGAACTTTACTTTTTTACCACATTCATTAGCTTGAGGAGCTAGAGGATAACCAGGCAGAATGAACTATTCCAGTGACAATTTAATATTTGATGAACAGAGAAATAATCTAATTCCGAGATATGTATAGGAAAATAGCTAGTCACATAGATTTCAAAATCCCTCTGCAACCTGATATTACTTATACATACGTTGTCAGATGTCTCCGGGATGATTTCTGAATTCCTTTTACCTGTTTCTAATTTCTTATCTTTTCTTTAAATGCATAGGGTGTAAGAAGTTTGAAATATTCCTACTTTGAGCCTCGGTATATCATGGTGGTACCAATGAATAAGAAAAAATATGAGGGATACTTGCGTAGAAAAGGACTATTCAGTCGTGCAGAAATTGAATTTGCTGTCTCCAGGGTGGACCTATATATCAAAATTAATCAGAAATTCCCAGGCTATTTTGATGCAGTAATCAATGCAGGTCAGTAACCTCAGTAAATTTCTTTTTTTTTTTTTTTAAATGTAAGACCACTGGGCAGAAAATCCACCACCCGGGGCTTGCACACTTAATGCTGGCAGAGTACAATTTCTTAGGGTTGTAGGACTGAGGTCCCCAAGGCTGTGCTGCCCACAGACCCCACGGGCTGCTGCCAGTTCCTATCCAGGGAGCTTCTTCGCTTTTGAGTCAACACCCCATACGTCAAGTCCTCCCTGAGCTTCAAGTCTCTGCCTTCCTCTTCTGCTACCAGAGAATTCTCTTGTGGTGCTCCATGTGATTAGTTGACTCCCCTGGAGAACCTCCCTTCTGATCAGCTCAAATTCGAGCTGATAAGTAACCCTGAGCACATCTGCAAAACCCCCTTTGCCTTACAACATCATGTCACAGGACTATCACATTCCTGGGTTCCAACTCCCCACCCCCACCCCCACATACACACGCACATTCCAGAAATGAAATGTAGCCAAAGCCATTCCCACCAGCAGTCACACATGGACCATTCTGGTAGGTCCTGCTGCCTTAACACACACTCTCGCCTTTACTGCAGATGACCTGGATGTCGCCTACCAAAACCTGAGTCAGCTCGTGAGAGAATACCTGGGGTTGTCTGAGGAAACGGCCAACACATTGGCTCCCATTGCAGGTACTTTCTTACTCCTTTTGTGCCAGATTTTTTTTTTTCTTTTGCAATGGAAAGCTAACCTGCGAGTGCATTGGTAGGGATGCTTCTGCCAGGTGAAGGCTGGCTCTAGCTCTGCATTCCCTACACTTCTGGGACAATGGTCCCCACAAATGAGCTGTCCCAGTCAGCCGTGTGGACTTTGCCTTCACTCTTCTTGGTGGCCAGAATTTGCCCTTCGGGAACATGCTGGGCAGTGCCTTGGGGTTCACGGTAGGAAAGGTCACCTCGTGTTTCAGAAATTGGCCTTCCAGAACCTTCCGGGTTCTCGGACAAGGCCAAAGCAGTGTTTTGTCTAGCTGGTCTGTCTAGTGGTGTTTCTGTCCAGGAGACTTCTTTTCCCTGTCTTTGGCATTGCTCCAGACCTCAAAATGTTGTGCTAGAGAGTACAGTGGAGGAGCTCTGCTCACAGGGTGTGAGCCTGGGCCTAGCCCTGCCTCCTCCTTGGCAGGCTGCTGAGGTGTCAAGGAGAGAATTACTGCTCTAACCCAGCAGCGGCCTCACTCTGGGTGTCTACCTGCCCCTGCACTGCAAACAGGGACTTCAGCAGGCATTTGCATGCCCAGATTTATAGCAGCTTCATTCAAGAGAGCCGAAAGGAGGAAGCAACCCAGGTGCCCACCAACAGAAAAACAGACAAAATGCGCCTTATAGACAAAAGGAAATATTTAAGCCTTAAAGAAAAATCCTGACAGTCTACAATGATACAAAGCCTTGAGGATATTATGCTCGGTTACACAGCCAGTCACACCACCAGTACTGTGTGTGACTCCGTCATGTACGATGTCTAGGGCCCTTAAACTGAGACAGGGAAGTAGCATGGTCAGGGCTGGAGGTGGAGGGGAAATAGGGAGTTAGTGTTCAGCGGGACAGAGGCTCGGTCTCTGGAGGTAGGTAGTGGTGATGGTTGCACAACAATGTGAACGAACTTGATGCCCCCAAGCTGTACACTCAGAAAATGGTCAAATTGGGGAATTATACATGATGTATATTTTACCACCATGATGGAGAAAAGAGGGCACCCCATAGACTAAATCTCGTACAGATGACCTCTTAAGTTGCAACCAGTCATTGAGGCCACGTTGGGTGACAGAACTGACACTAGACGGTGTCAGCTCCACCTCTTTGGCGTTGTGTCACGTGTTCTGCTGCTTTCTCCCTACCTGTGTCCACTCTGGTGGCTCTTGAGCTTGGAGAGCTGTGCTTGCCTGTCTGTATCCTGACCGTGTTGGGGTGGGCCTGGGCATGGTTTCACCAGAGTTCAGACACACTGTGCTGTTTTGCATTTGACACACACTCCCCAGGTCAGGGTGCTACTGGTTAACAACCAACGCATACTGACCAAGGTTTTCCTCTCTTGTGTGTCCCATGGGCCCCGGGAGCCCGGCCTGAGGCGCCTGTGCCCTGTTAAAAACAGCATTGGTGGGGGCCTGTGCTCAGCCCACAGGGGCCAGGGATGTTAAGCTGGTAGGGTACAGTGTGTTTATCCAGCACCTCAGCTTCTACACACGAGGCTCGGTTCTTTAGAAAGCTGTGACGGTGGAGTTGTGTCATGTCTCTAGTGAGGCTACCATAGTTCCATGGAAATTTCTCTTGAGGAAATCTGACACCTTCGCTCACCCAGCAACCTTGTGATCTTTAATTTGGTCCCGGGGGTGGACTTGGCCCAGCGGGGGCTGCGTCCTGTGTTAGAACACCCTGCCCTGCTCCCTGAGTCGGGTCCATCTCCCATTGTAAATTAATAAGTTCGTGTTCTGGCTTTAAATCAGCCCTGGGAGGCCGGGTAAACACGAGTCAGTGCCCTGAGCCCGACTGCTTCTGAAGCACTGAGGGAAGCAGCAGTCTGCGGTCTGTGCCGTTGGCACTGAGGTGCCACTGAAAGGCGTCATGTGGGTAGAGGTCTTTGAGATTTTTACCACTAGCTATGATGTCAGCTGTGGTTTCTCATTATTATATTGAGTTATGTTCCTTCTATACACTGGGTTTTTATCATAAATGGATGCTGATGCTTGTCAAATGCTTTGGTTGCATCTATTGAGATAAACATGGTTTTTGTCTTTCCTTTTTGTTCCTGTGATTAGGTCACAGGAATCAGCTTGCAATAGACTGTCCCTTTCTGTATGTAGATTACGCATATGCGTAATCCTTCCAATGTGTTGTTGAAGCCATTTACAAGTATTTTGTTGAGGATTTTTGCATGTTTGTTCACTGGAGACAAAGTCTGGTTTTGTTTGCTTTTCAGTTATGGCCCTGTGGTTCTGGAATGAGAATGTTGTTTCATCATGAAACTGTTTGGAGCTTCCTTCCCTTTCAATTCTTTGGAAACTCTTGAGAAAGATAGGTTACTACCTTTGCTTTGAAAATGTGGTAGGGTTCACCAATGAAGCCATCTGGTCCTGGGACTTTATTTTTGGAAGGCTTTTCCTTACTCTTGGTGGGTCTCTTCTGGCTTCCTGTTTCTCTCAGTCATCCTGTGTTCTGGCCACATAACTCTATAGCCCTTGTGATCTCATTCGCTAAGTCTTCAGATCCCTGAGTGTTAAGTTTTTCACGTAAAGCTCCAATTTTGACCTTCTGCTGGTTCATTTTATTCTGGAACTTCATAAATTGCTTTTCTGAGTTTTCACAACAGCTATTTTGAATTCTCGATGTGGCAGGGAGATAGAATCTTCCACACCTTTGAGTTTGGTTCTAGAGAGCTGTTCTCTCCTTATGCTCTTAAATTGCCACGTCACTTTCTTCTGTCTGCCCATTTTGCTACTTTAAATTATCTCCATGTTCCAGCAATTGGTGCTGTGCTGTATTTATGCCTGTCTATCTGTTGCGGACGCCTTAGGAGCCTCCAGCTAGGGAGGAGGTGGCCAGCTGCTGTTGTGGGCTAGAGGTCTGGTTCCACTTCTCCCACCTCCCTGCTGGTGCATGTGTGGAAAGAGAGTGTACGTAGAGTACATTCTCTGTTGTGTCTCCAGTCTGATGCCCCTCAGCATCAGACTTCCCCCGGGCCACGGGTGTATACCCGCATATTGCCTCTGCTCCCAGACCTCCTCTCTACTCAACTTCCCTCACAGCAGCACCATGCTCCTTGGCCTCCCCTCTGTTCCAGGCACGCTGGCCTCTGAGGGGCTGTGGTGATTCAGCCTTACGCCAGGCTGTAGGAGTCACTCAGTGGTGTCCTCCTGTGAGCAAAGCAAGAACATCCTCTGGGGGCCTCTTAGGCTTTAGTTTTGTATTGGAAACATCACCCATAATTTGATTAGAAAAATCACTTTGAACTCCCCTTTCTAAAAAACAAAGACAAACCTACCATAGTTCCTATCAGGGAAGCTGCTGGAATCTGGTCTCCCAGAGCTGAGTTTTCCCCAGTGGGGCCAGCCTGTGTTAGGCTCTAGTGCAGACAGACCTGATGGCGTGTGGTCTGAACATTACTCCCAAATACTTGAATAATACATTTTCTTTTGAGTAATTTCATGTTGCTAATTTGTGAATCAGAATACAATTTAATAGGCCTAAGGTCTCTCAGTTCTGAGTAGAGCAGACCCATCAGCCTGGACCCTGAAATACAAACTGTCACCAGGGATAAACAAGATTAATTACATTTTCATTTGATAGGTAAAATAGTAACTTAGGTACAGAATTCTTTTATTTTCCCCCTACAACAGTGCAGTAATAATTCTTTTAAAATAAGGGTGAACTCAACTTCACAATTCAGTAGAATTGTGGCTTTGCCCTTTTTTTTTGTTTTTATGCAGCTTATTTCTGGAATAGTTGGTAATTCTAGTAAAGCTCTTTAAAAGCTGATCCAGCTCTATCCTGAATTCTTGCTATAAAGATCATAAAGTATTTTGCAAACCAGCATTCAAAATTCTGACTAATGATAGAGGAAAATGAGGATGGTGATGAGTCAAATAGAGAAATTGAGCAATTTACTAGTCTGAAAGTGGTGCCTTTATCTGTAATAAAGGGCATGGTATTATTGCCAAATTGTGTGACTCATTAAAAAAAAGTCCCTATAACTTAACTAGGAGGCCCTATAGGTAAAGCAAATCTTCATTTGGTTTCACTATTTTTATATTATTCTATCTTTTTTATTGTGCTAAATTGGTTAAAACTGCATGTTTTATTTTTAAGTGTACAGTTTAACAGAACTAATTACATTCACAATGTAATGGAACCATCACCACTACCTATTTACAGAATGTTTCCTCTCCCCAAATAGAAATTTCTATATCCATTATCAACTTTCTCCAGACTAAATCCAGGTTCTTGTTTGTCACTTGTAAACTAGGGAGTAAGAATGATGAACAGGACATCTGCCCAGAAACACTGTCAAGGGCAAGCCTGTACTTACTCCCACTCTTTTCTGGTTGATACACCCATTGGTGGACTGGTGAGAACCTGGAGTAGTCCAAGCTCATCCTGCCTTGTGGAGGGGATGGTTTGCTATCTCTGAGTATATATCCCAAGTGAGCCAAGAACAGTTTCAGACAGGTGTGCACTGCAGGGCTATACCCTTTGGACTGGCTTAAGATGACCCTTGAGCCATCAGAACATCTCGGAGCTTCTATTCTAAACAGGTGTCTGCTGGGGGTGATTATGTCTCTGACATTAGAGTCACTTGGAGAACTGGTTCTCATATGATGGATGGAAGCAAGTCTCAGCAGCAGCCGCATCATCAGCAGTGGGCTCTGAAAGCCATTTTGAAGTCAGAACCGACTTGGAGAGAAAGGGTAGCCCTTGGGATGGGTGGAGACGGCAGCAGCCCCCACGGCAGGTGCTCAGGACAGCGTTTCTGAGTCACCGTGCCGTATGTGTTCTTTCCCTCGTCTCTCATGTATGCGTGCCTGCTCGTATCAGTAACCCAACTTGACCGCTGAAGTAGTGAGCATTTTAAATCTCAATCACTTTGCAACTTCTCTTACCACTCACAGCCTTGGATATAAATACTGAGTCTGTGAGTAAGGCTTGTGTATACTCATTAAAGCTTATGCTTTCCAGCTGGCTAAAACTCTTTGAAGTTCTACTACATCAGAATTCTAGGTCCTTAGTATCCTCAAGGAGAAAGAATGGTTATAGTCTTCAACTGTGTCATTTTATTTCTGTTCAAGGCCTTCTGTGCATCAAAGGAAAAAACACCTTTAATTATTCATTTCTAAAGTTACATAGCTGTACCTGATGACATACTTTTAGCTAACTTCTCTCTACATTAAAGCAGGCGTTCCCTCTAGCAAGAAGACACCCTCTGGGGTCCCAGCTCACCTGGTTCCCTCCCCAAGACGCTTGGCGAAACTGCAAGCAGATGGCAGGATAACAGATCATCTCTCTGGAATGCAGATTCATGCAGATGTCCCTGAAAATCAGAACTTAGCTGCCTCCCAGAAGCAGGAGGGAGAAACCCATCAAAAAGAGCTCCCTCCCAGTAGCCACACTGAAGACGAGCCACCTTCCCAGTCCAACTCATCTGCTGTTCCCCAACAGACTCAAGACATCTCCCCAAACCAGAAGGAAGGGGATGATCAACAATCAGATCCTTCTCCAAAAACCACCACAGAGCTCCCTGACAAGGCCCAGACAGCCAAGGGGAAAGTTGGACAGGCTTCTACTTCTTCTTCCCAAGAGCCTCTGCAGCAGCCAGAGCAAGATGAAGAATCAGGGGAGGCCAAGGTAACCCCCACTGGCCCAACATCCCTCAACCCCCAGAAACCCCAGGATGAGGAAACTGAGTCAGCCAGTCAGCCACTCACCAGTTCCCATCACGATCCTCCAAGAGAGCCTTCCTACCCTGATGGAGATACACAACAACCTCTAGAGGAGGGAGCCCCCAAAGCAGAAGTTGCTAGGGCTGGCACTCCTTACCCCGAACTGCCACATCCCCAAGACTCAACAAATACAAACCAGACACAGGCCAGGGAGGCCCCGGCCACTGTGCTTCCCAGAAGCCGGCTGGCTCCCACCAGGCTGCCCCAGCCGCGGGTCCTTGCACCCCTCCAGAGTCCGAGGCCTACCCCCAAGCTGCTCTCCCCCAGCAGGGAGGATGCGTTAGGAACAGCCTCAGATCAGACCCTGACGCCTTCTCCCAGACCCCTGCAGGTCCAAGAAGGAGACCCCAGCAAACTTCCTCCCATCAGCCCTCCCCACTCAGGTCCCAGTTCTCAGCAGGCCCAGGAAGAGACAGTCAGGGAAGTGAAACTCCCACTCATCAGTCCCCCAGTCCAAGAGCAGGCGCCTGACCCGCCGCCAGGGGCGGCTCAGGTAGTCAGGCTCCCTCGCATCTCCACGCCCTTCACAGAACGGCAGCGGCCTCCGAACAGAGGACCTCGCCCTGCAAAGGAAAGGCAAGGTCCCAAGGTAGGCCACTCCTCCAGCAAGAAGATTCCAGACCTGCAAACTTCATCCCAAAATCAAGAGGCTGGGAAGCCAACAGAGGCTAGGAAAAAAAAACTCCCTATCCAAAGAGAGACAGCTAACGGGCCCACACATGTGAAAACGACGGGGCCCAGCCATGGGAGAGCCTCACAGCGAGAGTCCCAGAGTAAGCCGATGCCCCCCAAGGCGTCCCACCACCCTCGCCCCAGCCCTTCTGCGTTGATTGGGAAAAGAAAAGCCCAATCAACGGAAGTCCCAGAGCCACCTCACGCCGCACCCCTGCCTAAAGACCCCCAGTTACAGGAAGAGAAAAAGGAAAGAGGACATTCTTCCCCAAAAAAGACTCATAACAAGCTCCCCTCAAGTGCCCTAATTCAGAAGGTAGCCATGTCCAGGAAAAAGCCCTCTCTGAAGAGAGAGAATTCTGAAGGATTATCTCAAGCACAGGAAACCTCCCCCAGTGACGGCCAGCCAGCGCACACAAGCCCTCCCCAGAGCGAGAGCCCTGCAGAGGCCTCCCCCGGCGGTTCTGCTTCTGTGGGGGCCCCCGGGAGAAAAGGGCAGGGGCCTCAAAAGAGACGGGCTCAGAAGCGAGAGCCTGCTGCCCACCACGCAGAGGCAGAGCCGGGGGGCGCAGCCCCCGTCCAGGCACCTGTCAGAGAGGCACAAGCGGATCAGGGGACCAGTCAGGCCCGAGGGAGTGCTGGCCAAGGGGACAGTGCTTCCGGGCAGCAAGCCAAAGAGAAACGTCCCCACAAACACCGGGGAGCAGCACGGGACCAAAGCCCAGCCACGCCCCAGCAGTCTGTGGAGGAGCAGGGCAGCCGGAAAGGAAGACTGCGCGCCAGGGGAAGCCAGAGCACCAAGGTCTAAGCCACCGAGTCCATCAGTCATCAGCGTCGGCGGAGAGCTGTGGCCGGGACACCCGGCCCTCCCTCAGCTGCTTTCCTCTCAGCCCCCGCCGTCCAGCCACCACACTCAGATGGCCACAGCCTGCACGTCTGTACCTCGCCACGGCAGCCTCGCTCCTTTGCTGCCAACAGAGAGCCCTTCTTGGGGGTGACATCGGCAAGGGGCATTGCGTCCAGACGCCTGTGACGTCCAGCACGAGCCCCACGTGGGCAAGAGCCGGGCTGTGCCTGTCATTGGCTTTGTTCTCATCATTAGGAAAAATCATTTCCCAATTAGAAAATTCTCTCCTGCCTCTTGCACTATTAAGAGATCCAGAGGCAAAAAGAAAGTTAAAGAGAAGCCTTTGCAGTCTCCCCTATGGGGATTCCAACCCCACAGTTAATCTGTGAGAGTCTTTTGAAGGAAAGCGGACACGTTCTTTCCACGTGTGAGACCGGGAGTGGAGGCTTTAGATCTGCCTTGGCATAGAGCACTTGAAACTTACTTTTGTTTGAAATGTATTTCAAAATGAATACCTTCCTGCTCTGAATAGGCGCCTCATGTAAATTAGCCCAGGCCTTCATTATGCCAAACCATCTGGTTGAATCGGTTGGAAGAATCAGCGAGGAGAAGATTCGGGCAAATCACTTTTTCATTTATCTATTCATACCATCACGACTCTTTTGCTGGCAAAGAGCTGAGCCAGTTTATTTGAAGGAGTGGACTGTCTCCCACAACGAGGGACATCAGAGCCCAGAAAACTTGGGGACCAGCTATTGAATATAACCTGAGCTCTTGTTATCTCTCTCATCTACTGCTTTTTCCCTCTTGGCTTCATTTTCTTTGATGCAAATGACTGTATATCACATTCTGCAAATGGCAGGAACATGGCCACCAACAGCTGTCAAGTTTTACATCTGGCAGCTCCCACCACTAAAACAGTAAGATTAGCTCACATGATCTCTGATCTTAAGGTTTAAAAAACAAATCAGGGAAACTCAGATGGGCCCAACGTGAGTCAGATGCTCATTCTCCAACCAAGCAACACTAGCCAGCAACAGGGTCACATTCAGACACAGCCACTGGGCGCATGGAGGCTGGACCCCAGAAGACAGAGTAACTGTGCAAGGCAGGCAACCGAAATTCACCTCTTCAAGAGTCGCGACACATGTCATGAGCACTTACGACGAAGACAGCAACAGGCTGAGCTGAGGTGGGCACCCTGCATTTACAGGAAGTAATTGAGGACCAAGTACGTAAGTGAATTTTAACTTATGCAGAAGACATGTGTCCACAAAATTATATGTATGCCAACACAGTAGCAGAAATTGCTATTTTGAAACTCCAGGATGCAGGAATCTTCTTGTAAAATGAGCCTGGGCTATACTGCCATTACCTTCTAATTTTGCTGGTTTGTTCAAGATGGAATAAGGTTGGTTTTTTGGTTTTTTGTTTGTTTGTTTGTTTGTTTTTAAGCACATCGATTTACCTTTTGCAGTTAGTTTATTGCCCAGCAAGCATTGATTGAGCACTTGCCATGGGCCAGACACTGTGATATCGCCACATCCAGTGAGATGACGAGGACACCTCAGGAAGCTCTTATCAAGAGAGACAGGGAGACAGGATCATTCATTATGATGTCATGTGATTAGGGAGATGAGACGTGCAGCTGGTTGGGCCATGGTTATCTTCAAGTAGCCCAGTAGATCTAACTTTTCCAAAATGTGACAGAAATACCAAGGAAGTATGCTGACGTCAGGCTAGGATGTGAGAATTGGATTAGAAAACGCTTCAGGGATAGCAGGTTACCCTTCAGCGAAGTCCCTGAGGCCACAGAAGGAATTAGCAGCCAGAGGGGAAGGCTTTTGAGAGGGGAGGCCTGAGCGTAGAGGCAGGGGCAAGCGTCACACCTTCTAAAGACCCCCACGCCAGGAGAGCAAGAGGTGTGTGCAAACCGGAAGCCCTCTCGTGCGGATGATCTTGGAAACGTGACCTAACACTGGGGAGCCAGGAGGCAGATGGTGACAGAGAGAAAGAGAAGAATGAGGACCCATTTTTTTTTTACAGCGAACTAGGTATGAGTCATTCTGGGGGCACCAATATCTCAGTTTCTAACGCTAGAAATTTACCTGAGTTGTTCTTTGGACAAATGTGAAATCCCTTAAGGCATTTGAGGTTACATTTTCGTTAAGATGTTAAAGGGAAATGAGAACCCAGATTTTCCTTCATCTGACTTGGGGGACGCTGCAGCCTCCCCCTGCGGGTCCCCGGTGGTCTTAAGTTTCTTGTTGGTGGCTTTGCTTGTGCATACAGGAAACGGATAGCAAAGATCATCATCTGGTTATGATTTTTAATTTAGGAGATAAATAAAAGTCTCTGTGGTTAGACTTTCTGTGTCATCTGTGAGAAAGTAAGCGGGGAAAGCTTTTGGGGGTCCATTTGACAGTGTTTGTCAAAGTCTGACAATTTTGCATAAGCTTTAGTAATTTTCATCCAGGAATTACCATAAAGAATAGAGGGTGTTTAGATTCAGGTGAAAATCTTGTCATCAAATAGAGCAAGATAGTGTGCTGGGGTCTGCCATGTGGAAGGACATACAGAGAGGAGAGTGATGGGTGTGTTCAGAAGGCGGGGAAAGGGACTTCACTGGAAAGGCCCCAAGCTGGTGACTCTGGGTCAGATAACGGGGTGATTATTTTCATGTATGTTTTTTAGAGTTTCTATAATGAGTCCATGGTTATTCAGAAAAAGTTAGATAGAACTAAATTCACACACATGAAAAGCTGTCATGTGAAAGCAGCAGCCTTCTGTTCACTCTCGATTTGGCAAAATGAAGAACTTTCGAAGAGTTAGTTGTATAGCGAGGAAGAGGCAGGCTTAGCTCCAGAATGGGGCTCTGACAGAAAACCTCCATATGTTAAGTGGGTCTCTGGGCCAGATGAACTTTAAAGCTCCTTCTATGATGAACGATCCAGTCATCATAGCTTCCCTTGCTCTGAAGAACCTGCAAGTCCATTTTACTAAATGTAGAACTTAGTTACAGAGTACTAACTGCATGTGGTTAGTACTCAGTAGATCAGTGGCTTTCATGTGTTCTGGTCCAAGATCCACAAATAGGGATGCATTTTAGGGTATCATGCCCTACATAGAGACACTCAGAGGAAGCAATGGTATCATAAGATACCTTCACTACAGTGACACCCTCTGATCTTTCCAATTCTCATTTTTTCAGAATGTTAGTCATGACCTCCTGAGTGGGGTGCATGGTATAGTTTGCACCTCACCCTGGCTGCCTGCAAGTAAGGTGGCATGGGCTGGCATGAGCCCTACTGATTCTTTTCTGGGACAATCCAAGAAGGATCCACTGCACTTGCATTACACGCTTTGTCAATATTAGGACTTCGAGTAAGATCTATGTATAGTTCATATGCAGAGGAGTGTTATAATGAAAGCTAACAAAACTCTTTAAAACAATTGATCTACAGTAGTGTTTTCACTATACTTAATTGACTCCCTTTCCTCTATAAAAGATACTTTATTGTATTATTTTTATAGTATACACTGTTTTTATCATTTTTGTTTTTACTGACCAAGCATTCAAAGGAGAGGATAAGGCTCAATATTTCTTTGTGTTAACACTAAATGTTAGACAACTGAATGTAGCTAAAGCCATTGAAACTCATCCATACTTTTTTTAAAGAAGTGATTATGAAAGTACACTCATGATTAGCAAAACCCAACGACATTAAAAAAAAATTGTAATCTTGTGATTTCAAATGGCACAACTAAAATAAATAATCATTGGAAGTTTCAGTGGTACAATACCTGTCTCAAGATTATGAGAATTAGGTGTGTTAGTATAAAATAACACCCAGAATAGTGTCTGGCACAAAGCAAGTGCGCATAGGAATATTGCTTGATGTGAGCATAAATATGTAGTGGCAAAAATAAATACCATTCAATCATTTACTGTACAATACTCTTCAAAGTAAGGGGGAATATTTAGTGCATGGTCTTGTCTGACAACCCCTGTTAAACAACCTTGTTGAAATTATGGGCTAATAGAATTTAAATTAGAATAATCATGAACAAAAGCCTGTTGCTAAGATCAAGAGGTAATGCTATGGACATCAACTGGCAGCTAGCAGTGAGTAAGGAAAGGGTCAGTTCTGAGGTGATTTTGAAATTTACTTTGGATACACATAGGAAAGATTTGTGATAGCTTCATGAATTGAAGACTCAACATCGTCAAAATGGCCAGCCTACACACAACAATGTATAGATGCAGTGTAATCCCAACAAATGTCTTCAAACAATTGGAGTAACCATTACTGAAATTCATATGAATTATATTACATATCCAGACTTCAGACTATACTATAAACCCCTAACAATTGAGAGCATGATATTGGACTCAGAACAGACATAGACCAATGGAATAGAATTGAAAGCCCAGAAATAACCACCCCTTGGTGGACAGCTAATCTATGACAAAGGAGCCAAGAATATACTGGAACAAGAAATTCCTCTTTAGTAAGCAGTTCTGGGAAAACTGGACGCTTGCCTACAAAAGACTGAAACTAGACCACTATCCCATATCAGCTACAAAAATTAACTTCAGATGGATAAAAGTCTTGATGTAAGAGTTAAAAACCATAAAATATAAAAGAAAACTTAGGCAAAACACTTCACAAGTTTTAGCAATGTCTCTGCAGATTTGTATCCAACAGCAAGTAAAACAAGAACATAAACAAGAAGGCTTCCACACAACAGAAGAAACCACCATCACTAAAACAAAAAGATACCCTACTGGATGGGAGAAAATATTTGCCCACCGTACATCTGAAAAGGAACAGATGTTGAAGATCTAAAAAAGGAAGACCACTAAATAGGCATGTCTCCAAAGACGTACAGAGAGCCACTAGGCACTTTAAGAAATGTTCATCTTCACTCTCCCACTTACCATCAAGGAAATATTGGCA